GCAATCAAAAAAAGGATTGTTGTAATTCGGAATCCATTTTAAGGTTCAATAAATTGAAATGGATTGTGATATTTTGTGAAGGCTTTATGGTAGTTATTATTACCGTAAAACAATATCGTAGTTATGATTCCAATTCTTGGAAAATCTTCTTGCAGTCAAATTTTGGAGTTGGTAATAGATAAAAAGAAGTGTATTGCCTGCGAATCTAGAAAATAGTACATTTTCATTTAGGGATTAAGTGGCAGTGCAAAGATGGTGTAAGAAACAATGGCTTCCATTTGATCTCTTTGTAAATTCTTGCCCATATATAAATGCATGCTCTGAAAAAAAAAGCTTCCAGATAGATTTTTGATGCATCTGGAAAGAAGTAAACACTTTCATGAACGCAACTGGATCATTTACTCAGATCGTTGCAATCATTCTGGGCACAACAACCTCAATTGATTACGCTTCATTATTCACTACGGAAAAGTATTTATGTCCGTCAATTTTCGTAAAAAAATGGAACTTCNAAAAGCGATGAAAATTTGAAACACGCAGACATAGGGTCAAATTAATTTGGTGAAACTGACTTGAATTGATTACAAAACCAGTGACTGGAATCTTAAAAAAATGCGTAATACGAGAACATCGGAATTCGACACCGTATAAAATTCAAGAGAAATCTCAAGATTACTTATGAAATGAATTTCATGACAGTGAGATGATTGTTGAGAATTTTTATTTGGGAGTGAACAAGCATTGATGCGGTCAAATCATCAGAGTTACTTGAAGTGAACAATTGATGGAAGAAGAGACACCGCGAATCGATTAAATAACGTTCAAAAAAGAGAAATATCAGTGCTGAAAGCGCTCTTCATACCGCAAGTCTCTACGCACATTTTCACGACGGAATCTTTCATATTAACAAAACCAACTGTGCATTGGTATTCATCTGATAATCAAATATCAACAGTGATCAATTGATCTCTAACTAAAAAACTACAACTAATCAACAATAATTAATGATTTCCGACAAGCGCTATCAATAAAATTATTGGTCGATTCACCGATATCCACAACCGATTGGTTGTATCCAGTTTCGGAGAAAATGAGTATTTTAAAAGGTTTTGAATAGAATCGCTTATGAGATTTGATATGAGATCTTATGCTGAGCAATCATATCTTATTTCAATTGAACTCTTGATCGCAATTCATTGCAAACATCGCAAAGTCAACATTAGAAGTTAGCGATGAAAAATTATGAATCGCAGATCCTTTTTAGAGTATTTCTCAGAACAAAAATCTGATATTGGCTGGCAGACCGTGAGCTGCCGCTTATAGAACATCGCAGTGTACATAATAATAACCCGAAGGAGCAGTTCCCAATGAGAATTACTGAAAAGATTTTACATTTGATTTATCCGACCTCTTTCGTATAACTTTAGCGGACAGGCATTTTGCTTGTTGGCGAGCAAGTTTTTGGGAAAGAACACTTCGCCTGCATGGAAGCATTTGATTTTTAGATGAGCAGTAGGAAAGTGAAGTGAACAAAGAAGTGAGATGTTGATGGGATATGCTAATTTTATTTGGTGCATTCTTTTAACAAGGTGCTTCACATACACTTCACTGAGGCTCAATAGCGCCTTCTTAACCCGTTAAATATGTTTAAACGAGACGATGTCTTTATGCATCTTAATGCATATTTACCAATTTGTTTCTAGCTCGTCAGCAAAAGGCTATAAACTGAGTGTGCCGAGAGTGTTTTCCGCTGCACTTGCAGCCGTTTCACTGAAGTTCTTCAAAGCTACTCCGAATATTTCAAAAAATAATCAGTATGCAGAAAAATTTCATAAACACCGAACTCATATTGAAAGTTTTTTACATATGTGAAATCATCTATATTTTAGTAGAGGTTCTCATATGGATGAAAATGTTCTAGAACGCTACCTGAGAACNCATGTCATCTTCTACAACAGTGAATTGATAATCAAAGAATCATTTTGTGTTTAACCGAGTCATTGCTTCACTTGCGTCTATAACAAAATGCTCCGGTCTATGTTATTGTCATAAGAACAGCTCACTTCGGAGCTAATCATACATCTATACTTGTGAAGTGGTTTTGATGCGGTCAATCAACCAACCTGTGAGGGCTTGTGATCAGCTGATAGAGCAATAGCCCGTCCTTTTGGGTCGCACGCCACCGCACGAGAGTCCCCAACGTTCACCACCGTCAGATAGCGATTTTGTTCAAGTATAGCTGATATCAATGTTGATCCTTGAATTTTGGTACAGTACACGTCTTATCTATTATGGATATCATAAAGTTTCTGAATTGAACTGAATAAATCGAGTAAATTTGCAGAACAATGAACATCAATTAAAAATATTTTCCGTTTCTTTACAGCTGATCTGATGATCTAATGCGACGCTTCTTCAAATACTTTAGGTTGTCTACAAGAATTTAGCGTGAAAATTGCTAAATGCAAATTTTTCAAAACATAACAACACAACGGAAAGTACGTATAATAATGGGTTTTTTGGTGAAAGCAGGTTGCTAATGAAAAAAGTTTAAGAAGCATTAATTTCATCAACCGCTCAATCTAAATTCATAGTGCGGTACGATCACGCAAAGATGAAGCAGATCAATTTGATTCTATCTCTTNAGCAAACAAACAAAAACTTAGTGATAATTTTCCCGCACCCGAAGTTGCCACCCAAAGGTAATATGACACCACAGTACTAATTCAACACCGACTGACCACAATTCAATGCTCTCAAAATTGCTGTTTTCATGAGGAAAATAAATTGCATTGCAATGCAAATTTATATGCATATTTAAAAAGGTTTTCACGTCTTCATTACCCTTTGCTGTCATCGTCAACTATTTTCATTCATTTCATAGCAATTACAATAACTCATTACGAGTTTATGCCGCTCTTTTATTGCCAATATCACGAATATCATATTTTTCCCTCGCCGACCTCCTTTTTTAACCTCGTTTTTTTGTCGAGTTATTGAGTACTATGTAAAAAATCGAAAATTATCAATCAGAGGTGAATTGCCTTCTCGCAATAAATTTCATTATCGAATGATTGTCTCCTGTTATTAAACAACGTGAAAAATTGGCAGGTTCCAAGTCATATTAAGGAACAAAACAAAAATTTTTTGTGTTCAAATCATACGAAAAAAGAGTCAGTAATTGCGGTCAGGCTATTCTGCTTTTAAACTGAAATATTCATCATCAAACAATACACAGAGAACAAGAAAGCAAAGAGCAATTTCCTGCTTGGCTCTTCTTAAATGCAACTCCTCTCGCACATTATAATCAATTGAAAGCCACACAATTAGTGACGCCTTTCTAAAGCATTCATGTGGTTATGACTATGCACTCGATGAACGTATAATCAATGAATAGTGATTGGAACAGCTTAAGTATTCTTTTATCCAAACACTTTGAGAGCTTTCTCGGTATAAACACTTAAGGGAATGAGAAAATATGGATGCATTGATTTCGAATAAGAACTGAACCATGTTTTTATAAGAGTGATTAACTGAACAGTCTTGTTCGCTCGGTGCCTCATAAATTATGCAGTAACTTAAGGTGAATTTTCTTTTTTTTCATTCTAAACAGCGATCGTTCGATCAATAGGCTAGAATCTTTCCAAGAACAGTGTTGAAAGTCACGGAAAGGTGGACTCTTTCTAGTGAATTTCAATATTCATTCAATACCACGACTTATATTTGTTATGACACAAGGTTGTTCGTCACTCATTTGCAACCCAGTAAAATTACATGTTGAGCATCTTGAAACACCAATTGTAAACAGAAACAAATATGTTGAATCTAAGAGTGTGTTAAAAATGGTGGTGAAAATGCATTCGTTACATTTTTCCACTTGTACTCGCAGTTAATGAGGAGACATAAGCTCTAGTATTCAGTAATTCAAAAAGCACAGAGACAGAATTACCTGTAAATGAAGTAAGCGAAGGGTCTAGTCTTGAGATCGCATCATCAATGTTGTGCACTTCCGTCACGACAGCCTGCAAATGGAATTAAATGATCAAATTACACGACGAATGATCATGATAATGATTAATCCATCATGATCGAACTGGTAAGCTATCATATAATACTATTCCATTTCTATTTAAGCGTCGAAAGAAAACGGCAGATTAAAACCGCACAATGCTGATAAAAGACGAGGAATTTCAATCTATATTTCGTCGTTAATAATGACATTCTTACAAGGTGAAATCGAGAGATGAAATAATGAATTTTCTAGGCCATTATTCAATGATTGTTGTAAAATTACTCGATGAAGGATGTTAGACAACCAAGAATGCAATTAGAATGAAATTTTGATGCATAGAAAAAATATTTTATGTTTCGCGTTTTCGTATATTTTCGGTCATCCTAATATAGCTTGTAGTAATGCATAAATCCCGCTCACTTAATTGGGCCCTTCAAAAGCCCATAACTGACTGTAGACATAACCCACTCTTGAGATGAATTCAAATCTTCTAACTGGCTTTATTCGATAAGTCTTTATTGCTGGATTGTTTACGCGTTATCCCTTTCCTCAGGAGCATTCAACAGAAAAAGAATACGAACAAAAACTGCGAATTTTATTGATGATCATGAGAGAAGAAATTCAATTGTGGAATTTCATTTGGAAACGACGACAGTTATCGAAATTGTAAGCGAATTTTGCTTGTTGTCGAAAGAAATGAGTGTGTTTTTTCAAACTGAATGTAAATGTGCATCGCATGATCCACTTGATTAAGCCAATTACATAGTCAAGCTTTTCTGAGCAGTTATTCTGAGCGTAATGAACTCAGTTGAATGTATCTCTCAGCATCGCAGTCTATCGTCTTCACATACAGAATTGGCCAATGAAAACGGGACCTATTCACTTGCATATCTAAATAAACAAACGTTTCTGTGATGAATGGATTCGAAAGTTTTAATCGAACTGAAATTAAAGAGTGAATGATCAACATTCACCAATGAGTCTTGTCATCAGTAGTAATCATGAGATCATCAATCTTGATCATTGCGTTGAAACAGCTTAAGTCAACATCCAAATGATGAATCGCTGTTAATACTATCATCGTTATCATTCATTATTTACAATCAAGGTATATTTATTGGCGATAAGTAAATCAATTCGTAATCAACAATATTTTCGAATGTGAATGCAACATTACTTGATGCACCTGCAGACAATTATTTAAGAGCATTCACCTACCTATCAAATGAACCAAATATATCCTATGATGCAGCCTACGATCTCACTCAAACGACTGACATTCGTTTGCGTTCAAATATGCCATATAATCAGATACCGCTTTTAAAATACTCCCAAGTAAGCATTAATTTTTAACGAAGCAACTTTAGCAAAACAAACATTGCAAAAGACAAACCAAGGTCACCGATGAGAATTTGCAAACTCTTTGGCCAAATTAAATGTTTTAACGGCTATGAACAGCATATTAATCCCCGTTTCTAAAACATTCACATCGTGCTATTCACGTTTACATAATGTTGCATTTGTTCACTTAGAACAAAATCAATTCTCAGTTTATCAACCAATGAACAATTAATTTTGATAACAACTTTATTTTCGGAATCTCCATGGAACTCATCCTACACTCACCCAAGAATAGATATTCTGAACGATGGATTTCCTATTCTTAGAGGAAATGGAAATGCTTCAGGGTCACTATTTTATAACAATTTTCGAGTGTCGCTCATTCANTTTTTTTCATTTATTTACTAGAATGCTGAGAATGCTTCCATTTGAAAGGGCTGAAAGAACGACTCATCGAAAGCAAAGCAAATGAATAGCCAACGAATTGTCTTCAGAAGATCGGCACAATCGCCTGTTACTTGAAATAGGTAAAATCGAGTTGTTGAACGACGCTGAATACCAATGAGTCATTCAAATCCTCCTTAAACAACATACCAATTTGTCTCGTTCACAACTCCGATTTACCTTTTATGCATTCAACAAAAAATCTTCGCTAAGCGCTCAATTTCCAGCCCAGAACATCATGATGAAATTGGCTTTTCCCCATTAGAAAGAATATTTTGCTAAAATTGGATTAACATTTTGCATTGCTTAGCAATTTAAAGACAGCTGCACTCCATCTTACTCTTGAACACGACTTGTTCAATACAAACAATTAAAAGCGTGAATATCGCTCAATCAGTGCTTCTTTTCAGAAATTTTAGCAACATCTCCAATAGCGTTCCACATAATCATATTTCAACTGGCAATAAATAACGTTTCCATTAGTGCGAATTAGCATGCAAGTGAACACAGGACAATGTGATTGTTCTAGAACGGTGATGTTCTAGATATCTTAGCAACTAATTTGATGAACAGCAGCATAGTTGCACGGCACTTGGGAACGCTCCAGATACATTTCGTTTGCGCACAAATTTGCTCATTTGTCACTGAGCTCAAGCTAGAGTTACATATTTCTGGGGAGAAACCTATGGCTCATTTCATGAAGGTGGAAATACAGCAGGAAATTATTCAAAAAATGTCTTTATGTGAATGAATTATAAGTGCGTTTATATGCAAAAGTCAGGCCATTTTTACAGAATAAACGATACGAAAAAGACTTGAATGATGCACCACATCATTCTGTTAGGTTAGCCGAAAAAGACTCATTCAATGCATGTGTAGTTCAAGGAAATACCTGAGTTACTGTGTCGTATGCGTCAACCGCAAGACTTTGTCGACGTGCATCAGGTCCAAATTTCAGGAGTCGATTGCGAATGGCATTTGAGAAATGCTCTTCCAAGTATTGAGAAACAAACTGAAATGAACTATAAGCTTTCAACAGCGCACTCGCATCGAATTTGTTAATTAAGATATTTTCACCGGCTCAAAAAAATCTATCCTTACATACGTGAAAAATCACCAACCGGTCCGCCGTGTCCATCAAAGATACTAAATATTGAAAGGTTATGATGTGGATCATTCATATAATGCATTCGGTCTTCCATATATGGTCTTAAACCGCAACACGCAAAAAACGAAAAATTTTGATGCTTCCATCGCCACGTTCCACCCGCTAAAAATTGATTAGATTTTTCAAGAATTGACTTGAAACATTATTTCGCCCACTCATTGATTATTTCCAGTTGATTATTTCAGTGAGAGTAAGATGATGAAGGTTTAGAGAATACTAGCAACTCTATTTAGCGAAACGTAAAAGATGTCATTGAGATTTGGCAATACACAAACGAAAATGACTTTAATTCAATGACGGAATCGATCGTGAACGTTCTTGAGGTTGATGAAAAATAGCTTCAGAGCAATGTTTTCCAATGCAGGCGATATTGCGATGCAACAGGGCGCTGTGGTCTCTCATTTCATTGTGGAGGCAGTGAACATAAACAAGGGAAGATTCAATTTAGTAACCGAATTACCACGGAGAATTTTAGTGACAAGTTTCAATAACTGCACAATTTGCAAATATTATCAATTTTCGTTGTTCAACATTTCGAAGATTTTTTGATTGGAATTCAACGTTTGTGATATTGTTATCATGATCTCTGATATGTCACCATTAGAACTGTTTGGAAGACAAGTGGTATCCTGCTACGGAATCTACTTCAGTGCGATACTATAGTTGAAGACGTTGCTGATATTGCTATTATCACTGCTGCTACCGTCGACATTTTTAGAAATTTTGTCTTTTTTATAGTTATTAGCCTGGGGAGAAAGACGAACCCACAATCAGCGTAGTGCTTAATTGAATTCGACGAGGGTACTGCCAAGAAAATTTGTGCAGATGGGAGCGTTGGCTAGGAAAAGGGTGGGAAGCATTGCTCTTAAGTTATTTTCTTTGATCACATTACATTTGCGAAATTTTAGTGTTCATATGATGATCGCAAGCCTTGTCATTCATTGCAGTTGAGCTCGTCTTGTTAAAATGTTGCAAACAAAGAATGTAGAAATTGGCTTGAACTTACGAAATTTTGGAATATCACTGAAACCACGATTCATGAATTTAGGTGGTGTAAATTTGTATCTCTCTACTATGGTGCAGTGTTCAAGCTTCTGACCCTGCATCAAGGGCCTATATCTGGAAGTAAGCCATCGTGTATACATCAAAAAACCACCAATAACCACTGAAATGTTTATAGCTTCATTTTGATTTCAGCACGATAAGCCTTTCATTATCAATATGATTTGTTCACATTTGCTACTGATTTATAGAGCGTTAGAATAGTCGAAAACAGGCTTCAGGCATATTCGCATCCGTACAGAATATTCATTTCAATGTTTATCAAAACTACTCAAAACGATGATTATATTTGGGAAGGAATTTATGAAATAGGTTCGCAGTGTGATGATCAAGTTAATGCTTGACGAATTCATTTCCGATTCGTCATCAATAAGACAATATAAGATTCCTGGATTGTGATTCCATTCGTAAGCTAGGATGTTTCATTCTACTACGTTGTGGTCCCTGGTCCATACTAAAGTATAGAATTAAGAGGAAAATTATTTTGAGAACAGACATAAAAATCACCTACATAAAATTATGAGTGTTTCGTAGCGCAGAAAAATACTGAGTAAGAAATAATGTTTTGCAGTGATCGTTACGAGTAATGCACCAACAAGCTTTGATGCATTTAGTGCCATTTGTCGTAGTTATTATTGCTTCAGTGAATGATGATTATGACCAGTTCAGAAAGCGTAATTTTTGAGCCACAATACGATGGATCGGCTGTGAAATTCGATCGATCTGAAATCTATCCAGAAGGTAATTGAAAATGCTCGAACGTGATTTAACTACAAGCGTATATCTACACATCATTCACGCTCATCTCAACCACTGTAAACGACACCAATTGTCAAACCATTCAATCGATTCTTCAGTCATTTATCTACTTACTCAGCTAATTAATGTACATTTCGCACATAAGCCTCTTCAAGATCACAGTTGGCTGTGCTTTTCCTCATCGTTTGACTGGTGATTTTGCATGTGTGTTATCGCTATCTCAATTTCGCTCGGCCCGACCCCCCTTTCCAATTCTTGGCCACCGCTTCGGTACCTCTCCCCCTAACTATATTAGTTAACATTCGGTACCCCCTCAGCCATTTTTATGCTTCCTCATCACCTACTGTAACCCCTCATCACCTTCTTCACCTCCTTTTCTCCCATCAGCCTTTTGGCCCTACGACACCACCGGAAGCACGCATTTATCGTGCACACAAGCATTTCATCGCACGCACAGAGATTTGATAACATCAGACCTTAAGAGCACTAACTTGATTTATTGTCAGGAATGAGCGGGTAGCATACCTCAGAAAAAGATGTTCAAGTCAAAGTTTCATCGAGTCAAAGTTTTTGTTCAAGTCAAAGTTTTTTCAAAAGAAAAATACCAAATGCAATTTTCTCATTCGAAAGCAACAAAAGAATGCCTCAGTATATAAATTTATTTTCAATTCTACCGCTTTTTTTTGAAGGAAGAATAGATGAAGATTATTACTTTGGTATTTGAATTATGACTGGAGTCAGACTTTAAGAAATAGATCGTTCATCATTGCATCCCATACAACGAGCAATGTAAATTGCTTTTGCATGCTGCAGCTATCAAAGACACGAAAAAATGGTACGAATTGCCCGAATAGTTAAAAAGGGATATTTCGTAATTCGTTATGTGAAAATAATCCGTGAGAAGAAGGATCAGTCGAAGAACTCCATAGGCACAATTACCTGAAATTTAGAACAGCTACCAAATTTCAAACTTTAATTGCATGGTGATACAATACATAATATTTTTTTATACCAAACTACACTGATTTGTTTGCATAGTTTATCGCATTCAGACGACATCGAATTAACTACGACAAAATAAATGAGAAAAACAAGAAAAATGTTGAAATATGATGTACATATCCTACTCACATCATCAGTATCTCAACTGAACGTTTAAGATTGAATAAGGAACTGACTGGATCATATTTCATGTTACAACATCTGTCTCTTGGTATGTTACTATAAATGATCCATCTCTATGCGAACTTACAAACTCAATAGATACACACTCTCCACTGAATGGAATGAACGCATATGCATTTTTTGAAATAGTCTTGCAAATACGCTCAAAAACATTTTCACAGTCTCCTTCAAAATTCGATCACTCACTTTCACAACTGAAAGCACACATCTGTCGTGAACTAATTTTGAATCGAACATAAGTAAAAAGTAATTGAAATACGATCTAACAAATGGCTAACCGAGCGATATCAATTGCACCAATTCAACTGATTGCGTTTAGATTGTTTGGTGAGGGGGAAGGAACTTACGGAATGATGTATGACTATGAACTTGGTTGGTATCACAAATTGAAGACAACATCTATTTCAAATAATTCGTGTATCATTAACATGAAAGAATCAACGTATTATCTCATTACAACAACTAAAAAATAAACAAAGCTCTCAGTGATGTGCGTACTGCTAAATGAAATATTCGATCGACGATTGGATTCTTTCAACACTGAGTGATAAACATTGAAAAACGAATCTGATTACAACTCACCTTGAAGAATAACGAGAAATGACGGATGAATAACTTCCTGACACCGGAAATTATGAAGTGCGTCATATATAAGTTGTAAGAACTCTTGAATGCTGACAAAAGTTTGTTTTTACATTGGTGATTCATTCAGGTAAATGTTGATAATTTCTCGTAATCGTTCAAATGAACAATCATCGATCTTTCAGAACAGCATTGGTATAATCAATCAGTCCTTCAACTCACCACTTCCAATAACGAATCTATTGACTCATACAAGAGATAATATTTCAAGTGATATTATACCATGAAATCCAAAAGCCTTCCAAGTACTTATCATATGGAGTTTTGGGAAAATAGAACGTGAAGTCAAAATCGCGGCATTAGCCTCACGCGTAATCTTCAAACGGAACGAACAACAAAATTTGTCGCATAGTCCAGAAAATATTTCATTATCGAATTCGGTAAACTTAGTATTTCGATGATTGTATGAAGAGTATGTCTTCTTAGGAAAACATTCAAATGTTTAACGAACCAATGAAATCAGAAAACTGATTTATAGCAGTACCTATTGCTGAACATAAGTGATATTAACTGTTTAGATCATTTGAAACAGAAGATGAATGTTCAAAGGATGTTTACATTAATTTATGAATAGAGCAGCGCTTGTCATACTTCACAAAATTATGTGTCGATATTGTTGATTATGAATTCTTCAGGATTTTAAGTCAACAGGAAGCAACGATTGTTTTCTATCCTAGTTCATTGAGCATTCAAACAGCTCAAACTTCCAACGTTGGAAAGCGTAGACCCCGGTTTCATTTCTCAGTTATTGGATTTTTTATCACTCAAATTTTTATTCATAATCTTAATCTTAATTGAATCAAAAAGTATCACGCTCTTCGATTTATTCTCATTCAAAACGCAGTTTAGCGTAAAATCAGACCCCCTCTTCGCCCATTGTCGTCAATTTTGATTACACAGTCATCCCTCCATAGACATTACTTTTGAAATTGTGCGACTTCATGTCTCCTCAGCTGACTGCAACACAGTTTGTTAACATTACAGGAGGTTTGTTAAAAATCATGACCCAAACATCGATAATTTCGAAGCATTCCATTATTTTCCGAGTTTAGTCGTTAAATACTCTTAACTGAGAAATGGTAACATTGCATGATCTACCAGAATTTGAGCTACTACAATATGTTTTATCGGAATTCCAAAAAGCAACTAATTTTCCCTGTACCAATGCACACAATTGAAGAGCACTTCAACATCAATTCATTACAGAAATATTACAATGAAAGCAGCAAGCTAATGATGTGGTCTCAAATGCATTCGTTCAAAAACATGTGCCTAGCAGATAGCAGTGGATAAAGTCGAACAACAGCTGCTAATCAGTTAGCAGTAGCTGAATTTGTTTTTTTACACTCTTCGACACTCATTTTGCCGAAAATTTACTAATCCTTTAATGCTAATTGGATTGAAATCAGGTTGATGCCGGATGTGTGGGTAAGTCGCTCGTTCCACTATTTATTAATGACAGTCTTCCTGAAAGCTCCTTTTGAGCGAACATTGCAAAAATTTTGTATAGGGTTGATCTTCTGAAGTGATTCAATAGATCATTTGAAAGTGGATAGATCGATCCCAAAAATGACCAAGTCGAATTTGCATTATTCGAGTGAAATTGCAGCATCAACATTCAAACCCAACAGCAAGACAATACCAATTCTGATGGTGGAATGAACATAATTGACCGAAAAAGTGGAATAGATGGAATTTTCTTTCATCTCATCATTCACTCATCAGCTAACAACTCTTTGAAGTCATCACGAAAAAACTCTCTTTAAATGATACGGCATATGGCACATAATCACTTCAATCCAAATTAATTGTTCCAGATCATTCACATCACTCTATTTCATGAAGTATTCATAATTCAGTGGAATACTTTCTGATATTTTGATGAGTCATGACTTGAAATCGATGGCTTATATTGTATCAGTATTCCACTAAATCGCATTCATATCACAAGCATCGGATGTGATATTCAGATTTAATAAAAAGTGATTTTAAATTCAACCAAAATTCTGTTCAAACCGAACTCGGTAACTGTAACAGCATGAAATGCAATCGTTGATTTACGCATAGCTGACTAAAGCCAACAAACTTCACTACTTGCTGGAAATATGGAATGTTGTAAGAAGATGATCTTCTGATGAAAGTGATTATGAGAAAATAAAATTGGACTGAAATGTTCTTCAGTTTTCATCTCTTGAGATCGACTTCAGATCACAATTTTTAAAAGAGAGCAAAAAGATACGTTGTGCTTTCAAGAGTAACGCAGTTTTCGATACTTCTCCCCTATCCGACAACACGACTGAAATAACAGTGGATAAAACCAAAAAAAACGTTTGAACGAAATAAATGTAACAATGTGGCGAACTGAATGAGTAAGGTGAGTTCACCGCTGAGATAGGAGAACAATAGTAGCAACAAACAGCGTATCATTACACACGATCGCTATCCATTTATTCGGATCAAGAAAGATAAATGCCCAGGTAAAACAGGCAAAATGAACAAAGAGTGAAATATCTTCATCATCACTCACAATCAGTGAACATAAAACACATACTTTTCATCGATACCTTGAGTGATGTTCTTCGGTGTTATTTTTGAATGCTGAATTGAAAAATATGTTTTGTAGAACTATATCGATAAACATCTCGTGTGTATTATACTGATCATTAGTGACGCTGTGTAATAATGAATATCAAACAATTGTTTTTGCTTTTTTAGTTGATAACAAAGCTTTTGTTGCTTCTATCGCATAACTCCAATGCATCTTTTTCATTACAAGAATCGTAATTTTGCATCAACAAATAAACATATGATTATGAAAGTAGCTGTCTGAGTTTCTTTTTCATAACATTTTCCCTGTTTGCATTCATTTGCATGAAACTTTTAGGTTTCAAGCAATGAAACTCACACTTATTTCAACAAACTAAAAAGCACTTAGGATGAGTGGGATGGAATTTATATTAATAGAATCTTTCGTGAACACATGGGATGGCTACCACAGTGCAAAACACCATTAACTTATCGCACTTTGATTTTGCCATTATTTGCAGTCAGTTCTTGCTACTGAAATGCGATTAGTGACAAATGATTATGAGGCAAACGATATATTTTGTAATCAGTCACTTTCATCCCGAAAGTTACTTGTTCAGTGCAATGCATCCACGACTCTTCTTGAATGAGAATATCATTTGATGCAGCAATACAGTCCGCCAAAAATTTTCCGTGCAAATCTGCTAAATACATCTCAGTTGGAATAGTTGAGGAGTGAAGTTATTTTGCTGTTATCAGTTACATCTCAGCTGCAACAAGTTTGCTATGATCAGAGAATTTCAAGATTAATTACATTGAATTATCGTCAAATTGACAAGAAGTTATTTATCATCCAATGACGTAGGTAGTATGCTCGTGATCAGTTGTTTTATGAAGATTTGCTGAGATTTTAAAAAGAACATTTTCGATGGAAACTCATTGCATATTAGAATAATGTTTTTCCGTTTCATTTGAAGTGGCATTTTGGACGCTCATTTGGAGAATTTGAATTTTTTACAAGTACTTCCTGCAGTTGTTTAACACTGTAGAGCGACTGTTAGCAAACGATTCTCGGCAGACAATGTAAATATCTTGAATGTACGACGATACTTTTTAAAACCCTTATATCTCGAATGATGCTTCTAAGACTTTCACAAGAATGAGATCGCCAAGACCATCGAAATTGTGATTATTTTTATTCTCTTATTTGGTCGAATATACATATCAATTTACATCAATTTATCGGAGATAGCCTAATTTTTAATGGATAACTCTGATTATTATTAAGGAGATTCACGAAAGCAATAAAGCAATAGAATTTTGTGGTAATTTTCAATCATCCTTCACCATAACGAGATTCGACTATCGTTATTCACCATTGATAAATTCGTATTTCTTCCATTGAATCGCTCGCCGTCATTCAAAGTAATCGATGAGTTTGTCATCACTGAAAATCAATTTTCATTTCAGTCAATGAAAACAAGCATAATTCGATTGAAACATCCATTCTCAACAGAGACTGTTTATTCAAATTGCTGGGAAGATGAAAACAACTACTTTTTTTCATGATGCAGCACTTAATCCTATCGTCTCATAAACCGTTTAGCTAGGTATTGAACAGACAAGACAAACTCAAATCAACAATTCTAAGCAACTAAATTGATCTCTCATTTCAACTGATAGTGAGATATGTTAATTGTTCTATTTCACTAGTACCAGTAAAGAAAACCGATACCTTCTTCAGCATCGAAAAATTCCTCTGATTCACCAATCGAAGTGTCTGTGATCGGTTGTTCAGTAATTTCTGAATGCATTTCTGGAATCACAATCGAACTTGGAATGATGGCATAGTTTTGTTTTCTTCTTGTATCATTAATAAACAGGTAATCCTCCACAAAATCGCTGTACATCGTTGACACTGAAGTTCTAATTCCTGGTACCATTTCCGAGATGAAATTCGATGTGTTATTCATCGAATGTTCAGCTGGCATGTTCGCGCTGTCGATAGTTAACAGTTGTTCTTTCGTTGCATCGAATTGCGGTCTATTTACGGTGTCTAAGTTCGGTTTCTTTGAAGTACTGGAAGCTGAGATATTCATCAAGGGCAATCTTACAGATGCATAGCTTGATGACTCGTTGATGCCAACCAATGTGTTTTCCGCTGAGAAAACTGTTAATGAGGATTCATCGAAAATAGGAGTCTCATCCAACATGTAATCCTCATGTTCACTGATTGTTGCGTTGAAAGGATTCTCTGAAGAATCGCTTTCATCATCATCATCATCGTCGTATTCCAATGGTCTTTTACGCTGCTCGTTCCTAAATATCTCAGTGGTGAAACCGTCATTCGCTTTGATTCGTACCGTGAATCGGTTCGATGGTGTTGTCGTTTTTTCGTAACTTAAATTTTCATCAGAACTTTCCTCTGAATTATGATCATTCACATCTTTATTTGACCGCTCCTGCTGTATTTTTGCTGTTGTTACCAAATCGATTTCTTCTGTCTTTTCAGCGACTTTGGTTTTATCGGTAGTACGGTCAGTAAACAGCTTGACATGATTATTCATGAGAGTGCTGTAAGAAGTTGTCATAAATGATGTTTTTTGACTTGTTCTTGTTGTCGGTGATGTTACTGTTACTGATATGGTGTTGATTAACTGTGGTTGGGTCATCGTTTGTTGGTCACTTGAAACTGATGAAGTTGATGATTGCTGTTCGTAAAATGTTGAGTCAGCGTTGAATGGTAGCGATTCGAGTTGTTCATCTGTTATCGTATCAATCAATTCTGGACTATCAGAAGGCTCCGTGATCTGGTTATCACTATCGTTATCATACGCACTTTCGCTGCTGCCCACTGATGGCTGTACCACCTCATTGCTAGATTCCACTCGAAAGATTCTCCTCATTGGAGAGGCATTTGTAGTGGTTTCTCGAGTCNTGAGTTGCATTCGTTCGAATCGGAGGCAAGATTGGCTTTTCACCCAAATTCAGAGGTGCATTCACGAACATTGATGCTACAAAACGACTTAACATCACGATCATCAGCATCAGCAGCATATCTGAAAAACATCGATTGAAAAATCAATAATTGGACAACCGATTAATCATAATCATGTTTTTTTATTAAGGTAAAAAAGTGAACGACAGTCATACTGACGGAACCAAAAGTAACATTAACATTCAGTCATGACTTTGAAAGTGCAATTAAAAAAAAAAAGAACCTACTTGAATGCAGGATTGGTGATCTACTCACCGCGTTCGAGGGTAGACCTGCAACGCGATTATCGTTGTAGCTGATCATAAATTCGAGAGATATACTCAAGAAAAAGTGAAGAACTCTCGAGCAAAATTACCGTTTCAAATACAAATACGTGGAATAAGGGCAATTGGATTGTTAAGATACAGAATTACGTTTTTTTCTTTAAATGAAGATCTCTTTCAACTGATGATTAAATTTACAATGATTCTATATTAGAACCAATAGAATATTGTCAACATTGATTAATCAATTTGATTGTCTTAAATATGCCTGAAAATCAAATCGACTTCCTCGAACCAATAAATATTTCCGACGATCTGTTGGGATGGATTGCACCAATTTTTCGTAAATTCTCAGGGCTCACGATAATCCACTGCTGAAATTCACCGAATCCTTGTTGTACCAAATAATGCTCGAAGTTTCCTTAGCTATGAAAAAATTCATTCATAGCAATGCTCAATAGCCAATAAACGAGTCGTTCACGATAAGTGAATGTGCAAAAGAAACCTCCATGAAATAAGAAAGCAGCCGCTGTTAGGTGTAAATCAAGAAAAATTCGTATCGAATGGAGCGTAATGGAGCGTGGACATTGTGCGTTCGACTTCAGCACGAATAACAATTGTATGTGAAGTTGTTCAACGTAAAAAAA